CCTTGTGGCTCATCTCAGGGCCCGGATGAGCGTTTTGGGCCACTCTGGAGGGCCTCTTCTTGGACCGCAAAACCGAGCACGTGTGTTGCAAGTGTGCCGCAAAGTTGAGGGCATTGTTGGCTGTCTTTGGAGGCCACTAGTGTCCTCCAGGGCAGTCACGTGGCCCTCTCGGCCCATCTCGGGGCCCTCTTGGGACACCTTGGACCCTCACGAAGCCGTATTGTGGCCACGATCGAGTCACCAGAGCCGTCTGGGACTCGTCCAGGTTTCATGGGAGACCCAAGCCCCCCCCGGGAGGCGAAGATATGTAATCGCGCGTCGCGCGCCCCCGCTAGAGAGCTGCCGTTCTACAAGACTTCCTCCCGAGGGCGCCGCGATCACCGCGCATTCCGGAGCGAGAGATGCGCGAAGTCAGGGGGCCTAGATCGGAGCAGTCGTCGGCCCAGGGCGGTGTGGGGCTTCTCTTCTCTTAGGGGCCGTTTGAAGCCAGACCGCCGTCATTCTGAACTGGGTCGCTACTCCCAGGTGGCTCCCCCAGGCAGGAAAAACTCCGACGTGGTGCTTTTTCGCAACGTTGACCCCGGAGGTGTTGGCCCGTTTCCCTAGGGTGGGCTCGGTTTTTCATCCTGAGGCGTTTCTTTGGCAGCTCTGGGGCCCGGCAGGGGTTCCCATGTAACGATAATGGCCGAAGGCCTTCCATCGCGATTCTGCTGACACGCGAGGGGGTCGGGGTAGCGGGACCCGTATCAAGAACGAAGTGCTAGACAGTGTTCGATTACCCTCGGGACGTACAGTCGGACCGAGGTACAAGATCGAAGTCGGTTCGGGGAGGTGACAGTACCCTAGTGTTATTTGTGCTCGTTGGATGTTCTTGTGCATCTTCGGGAGGGTACCCTCGGATATTCTGCAGTTTGGCCGGCGGAGGATCTCGTGTTCTTGAAGGATGGTATTCGGTCCTAGGTCTGGACGTAACCTTGCCGTTTTAGCCGACCGGGATCGATTGGCCCGTCGGTCGCTCTCTCGCGGGCTGCGTGTCTGCAGCCGTTTCTCTGCCTGGCATTGGGAGTCAGCGGACCAGCGGGTGCCGCAGGCTCGCTGGGGCAGCGCTCGACCTCAGCCCCTGGGTCCTTGGCAGTGGGGGCGGTGCCCATGTGCTTCGGCCTGCGCCCTGGCGCGCCTGCCGCCAGCGTCGTTTGACGCGGCGGGCTGGCGTATCAGCTGGAGGCGTACGACCGCGGCCTCACCCAACGTTGATTGGGTGCCGTCGTCCTCTCTTGGGTGGCATCGCGGTCGAACGTCGCCGCGAGGGAGACTTATGTGGGGGTGATACGCAGACCATTTGCAGCTCCGAGGCTTGAACCAGACTCGATGGGAGGAGAGAACAGGTGGAGCAGGAGGACCCAGATTTTCGACGTCGTATTGTTTCAAAACGTTGCTCCCCAAAGGTCTGGATCCTTTCTTCGGGGCCATTTTTCCATTCTGGCTCGTGTTTGTTGGCGGCCCTGGGGCCCAGTAAGGGCCACCAGAGGCCGAACACAAATATAAAATGTTTGTGTGTCGCGATATGCTTCAACGGCGCGAGAGGGCATGGGGAGGAGGAGGAGGAGGAGGAGGAGGAGGAGGAGGAGGAGGAGGAGGAGAAGGTGGGGGGGGGAAGGGGAGGGGGAGGGGAAGGGGGAGGGGGAGGAGGGGAGGAGGAGGGGGAGGAGAGGGAGGAGGATCAGGAAACGGTGGATTTAAGACTCTACAGTTGTAGCTGGGTGGCCCGCGCTGAAAAGAGATGCGGAGGAGGCGGAGGAGGTCCGCGAGCCGAGAGCGCGCCGCAGAAGATGGGGAAACCAGAAGGTAACCATACCGCTACTCCCTGGACCTTTCCCGCCGTGCGCTCCGACCAGAAGCTCCAGTCGAGTCTGGCGGTGGCGACGAGGGCCTCCCAGGAGGCCCCAAGGGGGGGAAACGACGGAAAGGTAGCGGCATGGGGACCTGTTCCTCCTCTGGGGAGAGGGCCTTGCGGTGGCGGCGGCGCTGGGGGGGGGAGGTCTGTTCCTGCAGCAGTCCTTCGAGCGCAGGAGCCCGCCCGAGGACGAGGCGCCGGCCTTCGTCGAGCGCAGGCCCAGCGGGGGGCGCCATGGCGACCGCATCGCCGAGCCCGGCCGGGCCGATGCTGGGCCCAGGGCCAGAGGCTGGGCCTTGCAGGGGGGCCTCATCGTAGAGTCGAGCATATGATGAAGAAGCCTCCTCCCGAAAGGCTGGGCCAGCGTTTCTTGGCCAACCTGCCAGAGAGCTGGCCCAGCTTCTTGAGTACGCTCGCCCCTTCTGGCGGGAAGGGCAGAAGTTTGGCCGGGGCCGGTTTTAGAAACTTTGTGGAAGCTAGCCCAGATTTTCTGAATGGTGATTTTCTTGATCCCATGTTCGGCTATAGTAGATGTGATCGGAGGATCGCGCCGCATCGCCGATGCGTCGGCGCTGCAGCTTGATGTGGAACCCGACATTCTCCACGCCAACATCGCCGATGCATCGGTGATGCATCGACGCGGCGTGATCCTCCGACACCATCTATTGTTACCCCATTTGGAAGGCCTCTACGTAGAGACTTCGAGGTGCACCAGATCTCCGACTGCATGACATGTGCAATCCGGGCGTTTTCCCCACTGCGGATTCACAAACCCACGCCAAAGGATTTACAGGTGTGGTGGGGGGGGTCGGAAGTGTTCGTCGGTTCCCAGAGGTTCTGCAGCTTCGAGGTGCGTTCTGGCAACTGCGCCTGACGGAGAGCGTTCTGGGGGAGCGTGGGCGGTCCAAGTCGCCCCAGGACCGCTGTTTGGCCCACGGGCCACCCAGAACCCATACAGTGGGGGCACATGCCAAGAAACGCCCTGGTCGCCTTCAGGGTGCCCTGGGTTTCTTGGGTTTCGATGGTCTTGCTGTGGAGGGCGTGCCGTTTCCACACCAAAAATGAATGGGCGTCCTGGGGTCTCATGTTTGGGTTTCTTCTGGAAGGCTTCTTGTGGACAGGCCTCCACTGTACGTCTGGCATCTTGGCAAAAAGTCAAGGCGGCGTTTTTTGGAGCTTGTGGCCTCCGGGGAGCTCGCACCAGGCCCCGGCACTAGTCAGAGAACGGACTCGGCAGGAACAGCAGGCGCTCGGGGGGAAGGGGTCGGGACTTCCCGGGGGGGGTGCTTCGAAAACACCATGGCATCGGAAGGTCGGGTACGTCTGGGGTGGACAGAACCCCCACCCTGACACGTCGATTAGTGTATTGTCCGTTTTCGGTTCTCGAGAGGACGCCGCAGCCGTCATTTTCCAGGCTTGCGCCCGCCAGGTTTGGGCCCAGGGTTGTTTTCGCTAAACCACGTTTTACTAAAGGGGGTTCTGTCCATCCCCGAGTACGCCTCAGGTTACCTGACGAGGTATACGCCTTGTGGACATCCAGCAGCTCGAGTTGTTCCCAGACATGGCCCCCCCGGCCTCTGGACCTCTTTCACGGGGCAAGTTTGTCGTCCCGAGTCGTTTTTGTTGACGGTCCTGGAGCCCGAAACTGGCCGCCAGAGGCCGGAGCGCGTCACAGAACGTGCTGTGCCACGTTTCTCTTTCGAGCCGCAGGATGTTTGCAGTGCGCACGGTTCGTAAGTCCAGGATCGGCCCAGCCAGGGTCGGTGATGTAGTCGGTTGGCGTCCCCCCAGCAGGGGCGGCAACGACGCGTGCTGCTGAGATCAGCGGAGGGTTCTGGGCACGTGCGTCCTTCCAGCTTCGCAGGACATCTCTGGAGCTTCGATGTGCGCGGCCCTGCCGACAGAAGCTGCATGCCACAATGGGTCCGCTGCAGCGTGAGCGGCGCGACCTCAGACGGGCTCTCGCGTGGGCGATCGCGGTCGCCCGTCTGTTCCTGTCAGCCGCAGACTCTTGTTTTCCGCTGAGCGCGCACAGCGCCACGTGCTGCTATGGGGCCTTGGAGGGTAGCCCGAGATGCTACCACGGACAGCGGACGACGAGGCGGGAGGTGGGAGAAGGAGGAGAAAAGGAAGGGCATGAGAGGAGGAGAGGAGGGGGAAGAGACAGGTGGAGAGGAGGAGGAGGTGGAGGAGGAGGAGGAGAGAACTCATGATGAGGGAGAGGGGAAGGAGAGGGAGTCGGAAAGAGGGAGGAGGACGAGGAGGACGAGGAGTAGGGTGAGGAGAAAGTCCCCAGAGGAAGACACATACACGCACGTACACGCGCGCACACGAGCACGTACGCCATCACCGACGGCATGATTTCCTCGTGACGTGGGCCCTGGAGGTCTCAGCCCCATCCCCAGGCGGTCATTTTTTGTTGGCTGGGGGCCCAGAAACGGCCGTCGGGCGTCAGAGATGGCAACAGACTTCCAGAATGGTGCTTTTCCCCCGAGTCGACAGAGGCCTGTGGAGCAGGAGGAATAGCAGCAGCTGCTGCTGCTGCTGCTGCTCCTCCTCCTCCTCCTCGTTCTTGCAATGCTGCTGAGCAGCACTACAAGGACGAGGAGGATGAGGAAGGGGAGAATGACAGACGCATCACGTATAGCATCCAGCGCATGCGCAGCACAGGAGGCGAGGGAGGAGAAGGGGGATCAGGGCGAAGAGAAATTGGCGAAGGAGGGAGGAGCAGGAGGAGCCAGAGATCCGAGGTCATGATTTCATCAACACGGGTCGCAGGAAATCCCGACCGTTTCTTCAGGGCTGTTTTTTCGTCCCAGGGCCGTCTTGCTTCAAGACGTTGGATGTCTGGGTTGGATGTCGTTGTTTTGACATCTGCGGGCCAGGTTCATGCTCCAAGACCGCCAAAAGACGGCTTAGGATGAAGAGAGCTGGCCCTGGAGAAAGGGATGGGATTTCCAGGGACCCCGCATTGAAGAATTAACACATCGGACATCTAGAGAGGAGGACGAGATCCTCTGACATCCGGCGGCTCGATTTTGCTCGAGGCGTGAACCCCCATGCCCAGGGCCCGCTTTTCCATCCCGAGCCGAGTTGTGACAGTCCCGTGGCCCAGAAGCGGTTCCCGAAGGCCCAAATTGAGAAATTTTGGGCGCGCCACGGGCCGCTGGAGGACTGGTGACCAGGTGGGGCAATGGAGTTCCATGGCTGGCCGGCCCCCGCTCCAGCGGCTCAAAGATGGGGCCCCGAGGGAGGCCAATGGTAAATCAGGGCTCGAGCTAAACGGTGTTTGGGCGATTCCATACACCGTTTTCGTTATGATGCCGTTTTGCAGCAACGGCGGAACGAAGGCTAAACGAGGGAAAACGAAAACACAAAGTGAAAACGGAAAGCGGTGTTTAGCCCAAGCCCTGGGATACAGGAAATGGATCACAAGTTGAGCCCTCACTGTCTGGTAGTATCGTTTTTCTTTGTCCTAGCGAGCGGCCTTCGTCAGGTTGCCAAATGTGCACGTCAGTTCAGCAGCTCTATCAAGCGCCATAACTTCCATCTGAAATGCCGAGAATGCACATCCGGACAATCTGCGTAAAGACATCCTGCCATACGTCTGTAGATTATCCCGTCTCGTTCGTTACACGCCACCATTTGGATTCCGTAGGCACCGCCTTTGATTGTATACCCGCCATCTGTAAAAAATTGCACCCCGCCTTTCTCACGAAAGGTGACAAACATCTGCTGGAGTATGTCGGGGGTCAGCTTGCTTCCGGGCGTCTCCTCTGCCAGCGCGTAGTTTGCCAACTGATCTGCGCCTGCGTTCCATTCCTTTGGCTTCCAATCGACAGGGTCCATGTAGTCAGACTTCTGGGGACTCCCGTGATGTTCTCGTCCTTAGTCTAAGGAAAGAACCATCCCGACCCCCACAAGTGGCGTTTTTTTAGACGGCCCCAGGCGTTTACTAAACAGCCCTGCCCTGTTCGACTCCTCGTGGGGTGCGTTTACGAAACGGCTTCGCTCGTCGGGGTGCTCACTACGAGGGTGGAGATTATCTGCTCCCTGTGGAGGCCCCACCCCTCGGGGCCCCCTCTTTGAGCCGCCCACCGCTGGCTGGCGCAGCTGCAGCGCAGGCGCCCCCGGGCGCAGCTGCGGCGCCCTGGCCCCTGGGGGGGGGGGGGGGTCCGCCCCAGAGCGCTCGCGGGTGGCCTCTTTTTTTGCGCCGCGCCGTGACGGTCAGGCGCTTCCTCCTCCTCCTCCTCCTCCTCCTCCTCCCTCCTCCTCCTCCTCCTCCTCCTCCTCCTCCTCCTCCTCCTCCTCCCCTCCTCCTCCTCCTCCTCCTCCTCCTCCTCTCTCTCTCGGCCTGAGGGCTCCTCGTCCTCAGCACCCTCCTCCAGGGAGGGGGGGGGCCTCCCGACGAGAGCCTGCCGTGCGGCAGCCGGTCGACGGGGCTCCGCCCTTGCGCCGCGCCGTGGGCGGCCGCCAGCCCCCCGCGCGCCGCGGTCTCAAGCGCTCGCGGGCCCTTTGCCGCCGCGTCAGAACTCGAAGGAGGAGGGGGAGGAGGAGAAGAGGAGGAGGAGGATATGGAGAAGGAGGAGGAGGAGGAGGAGAAGAAGAAGAAGACGACGTGACGGCCTCAGCATGCGGTCGCGAGCGGCACGCGTCCCAGTTCCAAGGCGTCCACGCCCCAAGCCGTTCCCAGCTCCCCGCGTGCGGAGCGGAGCGAGACGCTATCCGCTCGCAAGGCATAGCGCGTCGCAGGGGCCGCCGCCGCGCCACGCAAAAGCTACCGACCGTAGCCCTGCACGAAGGTCCGCACGGATTTCTGGGATCGGCGGTGGGCCCCCCTGGCGGAGCCAGGGGTCTCTCCTGTTTCTGCTGCTGTTGCTTCCGCTGAGAAGACGGCCTGAAGGATGGGTCACCGAGGCACTCGACCCTCGATATTCGACGTCCTTGGCGCTTGCTCGGGCCTGACTGGCGTCTCGAAGAGGCTCCTCGTCATCTCGGCAGGATTTCCCCCGAGATTCTGGTTGGAGCGCACCCCTGGGCTGGCACGGGGGCGTACTTTGACCCCTAAGCCCAGGAGGGGAGCAGAAGGGGACGAGCATGGGGTGGAGCAGCAGCGGCAGGAGGATGAAAGGGGGGAGGAGGAGGAGGAGGAGGAAGAGGAGAAAGAGGCGAACAAGGAGGAGGAGGAGGAGGAGGAGGAGGAGGAGCAGGAGCAGGAGCAGCAGGAGGAGGAGGAGGAGGAGGAGGAGGAGGAGGAGGAGAGGAGAGGAGAGGAGAGGAGAGGAGAGAGAGAGGAGAGGAGAGGAGAGGAGAGGAGAGGAGAGGAGAGGAAGAGGAGAGGAGAGGAGAGGAGAGGAGAGCAGAGGAGGAGGAGGAGAGGGAGGAGCAGGAGGGAGAGGAGAGGAGAGGAGAGGAGAGGAGAGCAGAGCAGAGCAGAGCAGAGCAGAGCAGAGCAGAGCAGAGGAGAGGAGGAGGAGGAAGAGGCTGACGACAACGACTACGAGTAGAGGAGAAAGAGGAAGAGCACACGGAGGAGGAGGGGGAGGGGAAACGACGCGGACGAGGAGACGAAGGGGGCGCAGGAGGAGGAGGAGGAGGAACGGGTGGAGAAGAAGCGGAGGAGGAGGAGCAAGGGACGTGAGGGGTGAAGTGGGAGGAGAAAGGTGAAGAGGAGGAGAAGGAATTTGATTCGACTGCCCATCTCAGCACCTGGACCCGAAGGGCCAAGGGGGACCCAGCAGCAACCAGTCAGACTTCTCCCCTGCAGAGGATATCTTCCAACGTCGCAGATTGAGATTTGCAGTGTGTGGTATCGTTGCCCGGGAAAGTCATGGCTGGTGGCTACTGGGTCCGCCGAGCCCCCGAGCGGTCAAACTTTCGCGACGCCGCATGCCCTTCGGCTGCGCATGTTTTACACAACTCGCATGGTTTCTCTAGTCTTGTAAGTGATGCTTCCCGGCGGAGCCTGCAGACCGATTATTCGCCAGGATGGTCGCCAATACTATGTTTCGTGCATGCGTTGTCCTGGAAATGTGTTCGTGCTGGTAGTGAGCATGACATCAGCGATGCGATCGACAGCCAGGCGGTCGCTAATAGCGTCGATGATGCTCAGGTACGCATCGAGTGTTCCAGGGTGAAGTTGGATATCCAGCTGCCTACGGCAAGTCCCGCTACCGTGCTTGGGTGGTGGGTATGAGGCCTATAGGATGTTCGTTGGGATCGCGTGGGAGGCATCTCGGGGGCCTCTTGGAGGCAGTATTGATGCCTCGTGGGGGCCGTGTTGGGGCATCTTGGCGCCTCTTGGGGGCCTCGTGGGGCCTCTTGTGGGCTTCGTGGGGCCCTCTGGGGCGCCTCCTGAGGCCTTCTGGGGGCCTCTTGGGGCGGAAGGCTCGGATGTTCGGTTCGTATTCCTTCTCTTGCGTCCCGTTTGGGGCCGTCTTGGGGCCCCCGCAGGCCGTCTTGAGCGCCTCTTGGGCCGTCTTGGGGCGCTCTCAGGCCGTTTGTGGGCCCTCTTGGAGGCCGTTTGGGCCGTTTTGGGGTGGTCTTGGGGGCCTCTTGGTCCGCTGTCCGTGGTCTTGGGGGCTCTTCGGAGCGTCTAACAGCCGAAATGGCGAGATCTTGGAGGCCTCTTGGGGCGTCTTCTGGCCCTCCTGGACGGCTTCAGGGCGGCGCCATTGCTGCCCAGGGACCCCCTGGAGCAGGGGCGATTCAGTCAGCTGGACGCTTCCCGCGGAGGGGGTGGACCCTTAGAAGGCTACAAAAAACCCAGCCAGACGGCACTTGGCATGATGCCACGCCTAGACATGCTGCAGGCACGGTGGCGGATAGTGTCATATCTTGCTGGGTAGTGGCGTTTGCTTATGTATGTGCTCGATGGGGGGGGATAGTCAGAGCAGCAGTCCTGGATGTGACGGAGCAGTGACAGCAGCGCACTGGAAGACGTGGTAAGAGCTCTCAGGATCGCGCTCGATTGAAGGATCGTGATTTTCCTGGCCCGTGGCCCCAGGGATCGCGTCAAGCGCGATTGTGAGGCACGGTGGGGTGGACGCATCACCGAACGGTCCAACAGGCGGGGCAGCCTTATTCCGACGTCTTGATTCTTCGAAGCGTGGCCCGCCTCCATGAGCGTTCGACCCCAGTTCATGAGACCGGTTTTCACCCCTAGTCGTTTTGATGGCCCTGCGGCCCGAAAGCGGACCCCACAGGGCGCCGAAGCGTCGCGAAAGAGCGGCGGCATTGAAAGAACACGGCGTCGGAGATCTGGGGAGGAGGGGCCGGAGGGATCAAATTGAGAGGCTCTAGAGTTAAGTCGGGCACGTCCTTCGGCAGGAGGAATATCCAAAACTAGCCAAATAATAGTATGGAGACTTTGTTATGTTTGACCATTATTGAATATGTTTTGGCTAGTTTTTATATTTCGTTCAAAATCCGCCTGTAGGGGGACACGCCCGACCTAAATCGAGAGTTGGAAGATGAGCAGAAGTTGCGCTTGCTCCAAATATATCGGTGATGACAACTGCAAAAACATAACCTTCCGGAAGTCCGCGCCGATTTCTTCAATCTGTGCTGCCCCCCTGGCGGCGCCTCCGGCGCCGCCCCTGACGGGCTCCGCGCGCTAGGGAGGGGGTCTAGCGCTGGTCCGAGAATTTTACGCGGACCTCTGAGAATCTATGTTTATGAACTTCCTCCTTCCCTAAGTGAAATTCTTGCATGTTGGCGATTAAGGAATGCCCCTGCGGGGGGGGGGCTCGTCACGCAGCGCCGCCCTTGGTGATGATTGATGAATTGTGTTTCAGGCTCGTAGGCGCCGTCGTCATTGACAGCATCTGTCTTTCATATCCACGTTCTCCCCTCCGAGAAAGAAGCTATGTTGAAAAGTTGTTCACCCCACCCCGACTTTTGATCAATCGTCATCTGACGGCCATTTTCCCGCCCAGCTTGAGATTTAGAACGTGGGTTCCTCGACGCGAGTAGATTCTAGCTAGCCGCGCGAAAACGCCCCGTGCCCTGTTGCCGAGATGGGATCGTCGAATCCGTGGCCCGACTGGCAAGTCGCTTGGCGTGTCTGACTGCGCCGTTGAGGGCGTTCGAGCCGCCGCCAGCGAACGTGGCAACGGCGCGCACCCCCCGCGGTCCGACCAGGAATGGCCACAGCGACCCAGACCCCGCACGCATGAGACAAGCACGTAGCACGTATCACCGAGCGCGCTCCACTACTCGCAAAGTGCCTAGTTACTCGCAAGCGTCCGAAACACATTGGTTCGCCTCGCTGAAACAGATCGTAAATCCCCCGCGGCGGATCCAGGCCATTTGCGAGTAGTGGGACGCGCTTGTCTAACGTAGCATGCGTGGGCCCTGCGTTCGGACGCCCACGTCGGCGCTCCGAAAGTTCGCTCGTTCTGCGAGGCACGGCGGCATGCGGATGCAGCGCAGCCGCCAGATTGCAAGGTCGCTTCCTCCTCGTCGTCCTCCTCCTCCTCCTCCTCCTACTCCTCCTCCTCCTCCTCCTCCTCCTCCTCGTTTGCCCGAGAGCCCGTTTTCCGACGCGGACGCTGACGTATCTGGCGCGCGTTCGGGACAGCCAGGGGGAAAAGGGTTCACCCGAGGAAGTGATTCTCTGCCGAAGAGAGGGCTTCAGCGACGAGCTCATGTCAGGGCCCGCGGGACAGGACCCGAAAGCATTTGTTTGCACAGGTCCCTCGCAATTTGATCACTTCCCGGCCGGCCAGTAAAACTTGGCGGGTCGCTTTGGGGGCAAGCCCGACGGGTTTGTCGGAGGGGGAGTCGTATGTTGCTTGCTCATTTTCGGATCCGTGCACCACCTGGGATCTAAAGCTTCCTTTCGTTGGGCGCCGAAGCCCGACTCCAGCCAAAGGAAGGCGGGAGGGGCTTACAGTTTTGGGGGGGCCCTTGCGGCGAAACGGGCCGGGGCGCCGACCCTCCCCCCCTGGGCAAACCCAGAGGGCAACGCAGGGCGGGTCGCGTGGGCGGACCCTGACGGGAGGGTGGCCTCGGCGGGCGAAGCTTGAAAGGCGGGTCGGGCGGGCGGACGCCAGCAGGCGGGGCGGGGCCAGCGGAACATGAGAGGCGGCAGGCTTCCAGGCAAGCGAGAGGGCGGACCCTCTCGGGCGGATCGGATCGCCGTCGGGCGGGCGGGGTCGGTCGGGCGGACGCCGGCAATGCGGGTCGGGCCAGGCCAGAGCGCGATTCCTTCTTGGGCGCGAGCCCTGTGTAGCTCGGCAGGAGCTCCTAAGCGAGAGCGCAGCTGGTTGTGTCATGTGCAATGGTGTCCCAGGCGAGAGTCGAGGGGCGCCCGTGAGGGGGATCCACAACGACAAGTGCTCTGAGGTCACAGTTCTACAGCAAACGTATGAATATTGTTCGCTGGTCACTGCCCGCGCGTCAGTCACCACGCGTGCCCAAAATATTTGACTCCCGTCCTCTGCGCTTTTGGACGTCACCCCTGTTGGGGGGCGTCACGCTAGCTGCTGGGCTAATCATGCGCGCGCTCTCTCGCACTCTCGCTCTCTCTCACTCTTTCTCTCGCTCTCTCTCTCTCTCTCTCTCTCTCGCTCTTCCAATTCCTGCTTGCCCGCGGTTTGCTCAGATCGCATCCCTCCGTCCACACATCAGCAGCAAAGGGGACAGTCGAAAGACCAAGCACCCCCCGTGGCAGCGGCGACGGCGTCGGCCGCGGCGCCTAGCTGGCAGACGAAGAGAGCTAGCCGCAGCCTGCGTCCAGAGCTGTCGAACCCCCCGGGGGCCTCTGCCGAGACACTCGGGACACCCAGGACGCCTCGAAGGTTCGACGCGGTTCTGGTCGGCGCAGGCCGCCCGGGGGTCTCCGGAGGGCCGCGGCCTGATGCGCAGCCTGGGGCATGTGGCACCTGAACATCCCCCTGTTCCGGAATCTCGATAAGGCCCGCGGGCGAGAAGCGTGCCCGTATCTGCGGCCTCGCGGGCTGGGCCCCTGGGCCGCAACCCCGCGGATACGATGCCGCTATCAAAGTCTTTGACCATTCTTCCAGATGGCACGCGCGGACCCGCGGCCCGCGCGCCCTTGGGCAAACTCAGAGAGGGCAAGTGTCCCTCAAGATCTGAGGTCGCGCAGCCTCGTAAAGCTCAGGCGGAGTAAGTTTCAGGGGACGTGGAGTAGGTTGTCTTCTGCGAAAAACGAAGCGGAGTACATTCAACAAGAACGCGGAGTACGTTAATCCACGTGAAAAAACGTGCGGGGTAAGTTTTCACACCGTAATAATTCTATAACGCTAATGAGAAACGGGGTGGACGGGATCCCATACCTACTCCGCCGCAGGCGGATGCCATGTTGTAGGATTCTACGGGGGGATGGGGGGCTTCGTCGGCGGGATGGTCAAAACTTTGATAACGGCACTATATGGGGCGTTTTTTCGCGGGTGCCCCGCGCAGAACGTATCAGTGCGACCGCGTATCCGCGGGATCGCGCCCCAGAATCCAGACCGCGAGGGCGCGGGTATGGACCCAGACATACGTTGCCTTGATCCGTAAGGGCTTCGCCCCCTGACGACGGCTCCCTCTCTATCATAATGGGATCTATCAGAGTCGCGTCGGTGTCTCGGCGCTGCCTTGGCGCATCTTGGAACTTCATGCGGGGGCGGGTATACGACTCAGCAGCGCATATTGAGACGTTGGCGTTATCGAAGACGCCTACGGCGAATCACCGCCGCCCCCTGCCTTTTTGGAAGCGCCTATGTGGCCGAACGTTGAGGCCAGACCTGCCAAGCTATCGGACCATGTGTTCCCCGAATCGTTTTGGAAAGCCTTCGGGGAACACGTGGGCATATTGAAGGTCATCTTGGCCGCCTGGAGGCCATTTTGACCCTTTCGGGCATTATTGGAGGACGTCTTGGAGGGCTCTTGGGCCGTCTTGGAGACCATCTTGAGCGTCTTGGAGGCCTCTTGGGCCGTCTTGGGGGCCTCTTTGGGCCGTGTTTTGGCCCTCTTGGGCGATCTTTTAGGGGCACTTGGGCCGTCTCGGGCCGTCGGAAGGCAGAAAAAAAGCAAATGCCACAACCCTTCAAAGACCAATTGTAATCAATGATTTTGGCCATTTCGGGCTTTCCTGGAGGCCCTCTTGGAAGCCTCTTGGGCCGTCTTGGGCCATCTTAGTGCCATCTTCGGCCGTCTTGGTGGGCTCCTGGTCTGTCTGACGCCGTAGGAAGCCGTTTGGGGTGCCTCTATGGGCCGACTTGGGGCCGTCTTGGAGGCTCTTGGGCGTCTTAGGCAAGGCCTCTTGGGCCGTCTTGGGGCCCTCTTGGGGCCCTTGGGGCCTTGGTTGGGGCCCTCTTGGGCCATCTTGGAGGCCTCTTGGGCGATCTTTCGGCGATCTTTGGGGGCTCTTGGGCCGTCTCGGGCCGTCGGAAGGCCGAAAAGAAGCAACTATCATAATCCTTCAACAACCTTAGGAAAATCAATGTTTTTGGCCTCTTCTGGCCTTCCTGGAGGCCCTCTTGGGTGCCTCTTGGGCCGTCTTGGGCCATCTTAGTGCCATCTTCGGCCGTCTTGGTGGGCTCCTGGTCTGTCTGACGCCGTAGGAAGCCGTTTGGGGTGCCTTTATGGGCCGACTTGGGGCCCTCTTGGAATGCTCCAGGGCCGTCTTGGAGGCCATCTTGGGCGTCTTAAAGGCCTCCTGGGCCGTCTTGGGTGCCTCTTGGGGCCGCCTTGGGGCCCTCTTGGGCAGTTCTGGGGCCATCTTGGAGGCCTCTTGGGCGATCTTTCGGCGATCTTTGGGGGCTCTTGGGCCGTCTCGGGCCGCCGGAAGGCCGAAAAGAAGCAAATATCATAATCCTTCAACAACCTTAGGAAAATCAATGTTTTTGGCCTCTTCTGGCCTTCCTGGAGGCCCTCTTGGGGGCCTCTTGGGCCGTCTTGGGCCAGCTTCGAGCCAACTTCGGCCATCTTGGTGGGTTCTTGGCACGTATGACGCCGTCGGGAGCCGTCCTCGGGGCCTTTCTGGGCCGACTTGGGGCCCTCTTCGGGCGCTTCGGGGCCGTCTTGGAGGCCATCTTGGGCGTCTTGGAGGCCATCTTGGGCGTGTTGGAGGCCTCTTGGGCAGTTTTTGGGCCCTCTTGGGGCCGTCTTGGAGGCCTCTTGGGCCGTCATGGGGCCCTCTTGGGGGCCTCTTGGGCGATCTTGGGGGCCTCTTGGGCCGTCTTGAGCCGTCGGGATGCCGAGAAAAAGTAAATTCCAAAACCCTAAAAAAACCTAAGTCAAATCAATGATTGTGTCCTCTTCGGGCCCTCCTGGAGGACCTCTTGAAGGCCTCTTGGGCCGTCTTGGAGGCCTCTGGGAGGCCTCTTGGGCCGTCTTGGACTCTCTTGGGCCGTTTGGAGGCCGTCTTGGACCATATTGGGCGGACTTCGAGGCCATCTTGGACCATCTTGGAGGCCATCTTGGGCCAACGTGGCCATCATGGAGGCCATCTTGAGCCGTCTTGGAGGAACAAAAATAGGAAATTGAGCTCCTGGGCAATCCTCCGGGGACCCTGGCGCGACGGGCCGAAGCCCCAGGGGGAGTTCTTTTGGAAAAAGAACCAAAACCAAAAGCCATATAATTCGGCACGCCAGGCACCCCTTTGATAAATCAAAAGGGGGCGGCGGATTCTAGTAACCTTCGGCCCATCCCGCCACGGTGCCTGGGTTGTGGGTCTGAGACCTCTTGTATGTGTTGGGGTGTCGTGGGGAGCCTCTCGGGGGCCTGTTGGAAACGGTTTGGGCGCCTCTTTGGGGCCTCTTGGAGCCTCGTGGGGTATCTGCTGGGCCTCTTGGGGCCTCTTGACGGCCTCTTGGGGCCTCCTGGGGGCTTCTCGGGGCACAACTATCGAATGTTCGGTTCGTGGTCCCCTGCTTGGGCCCCTCTTGGGGCCGTCTTGGGGCCCTCTTGGCCGTCTTGAGCGCTTCTTGGGATATCTTGGAGCCTTCTTGGGGCCCTCTTGGAGGCGTCCTGGGCTGTCTTGGGCTGGTCTTGGGAGCGCTTCTTGAGCCGTCGGGAAGCCGAAAATGCGAGAAGGCCAGGATCCGCCAAAAAACCGTCCTACAATCTACGATTTAGGCCTCTTGGGGCTCTCTCGGCAGGCCTCTTGGAGCGCTCTTGGGTTTACGAGGGATTCTGGCATCGGGGGCGAAAATTTCATGTATTTTTACGTGCCCCACGACCTCCCAGGCATTCTGAGGACGTAGCTCGAGCGTGGAAACTGGGCGGTTTGGGGCTCCCCCCTTTCGTGCGGACAGTACCAATCTACATCAAGAAGCAGACAGCGAAACCATCAAGATGGGGAAATGAACCCTGCAACTGGAGCAGGGAGCAGCAATGCGAAGCCTCGCAGACTGATCGCCCCGCAAGGGGGCCGGCGGATTTGTTCGAATACGCGTTCCCCGGAAGTCCCGACCTTGGTTTTTGACTTCAAAGGACCAGCTCTCCAATTCAAAAAACAGTTTTTGATATCAAAAACCAGCTTTTGAAGACACACCGCAGTTTCTTGATTTCACAAACCGCTTCAACAAAAAGCAGCTGTTTGAATTCGGAAACCCAGGTTTCCGAATTCAGCACCCAGTCCCCAGGCCTGGCGTCTCCTCCCGAGCCGCTTCTTGACCGCCCCGCGCGCCGGGCGAAGGCCCCCAGGGGCCGAGAGCGACGCAGCACCTCGCTTCCCGCCCGGCCTCTCGACACCGCGCGCGCGCGCCTGGGCACACGCCCGCCCCTCGCGAGAGGTCGCCGAGCACGAGCGCCGAGCGGTCCTCGGCCTCGCGCGCACCTGGTGGGGCTTCAGCGAGCGCCTGCCCGCCGTGCTGAGCAGCGCCCGGGCCCACGGGCTCTCGCCGGCGCTGCCGGCCCCAGCGGCGGACCTCGCCCGGGAGGCGCGCTCGAGGCCAGCGCACCGCCACGGGGCGGAGGAGGAGGAGCAGCGACGAGGAGGAGGCCCAGACCCCCTCGAGCCACGAAAAAGCGCGACGGCAGGTGTTTCATTCTTTTCGGCCTCCAGGGGCCCTTGCTGGGCCTCGGTTCCGTCAAGCTCGTGTCAGGATGAAGAACCGATTCCCGGGGAATGGGTCGAGACATTTCTGGGGGTCGACGCTATGAAAAGACCAGGACGTTGGGGGTCTGGGGGAGGAGGAGGGTAAGGACGGGGCGGAGGAGAGAAGAGAAGAGGAGAGAAGAGAAGATGAGGTGAGGAGGAGAGGAGGTTAGGCGAGGAGAAGACGAGATGAGGTGATGATGATGAAAAGATGATGATGATGATGATGATGATGATGATGATGATGATGATGATGATGATGATGATGATGATGATGATGATGATGATGATGATGATGTGATGGTGATGGTGATGATGGTGATGGTGATGGTGATGTGATGGTGATGGTGATGGTGATGGTGATGGTGATGGTGATGGTGATGGTGATGGTGATGGTGATGGTGATGGTGATGGTGATGGTAATGATGAGGAGGAGGAGGAGGAGGAGCAGGAGGAGGAGGAGCAGGAGGAGGAGGAGAGGGAGGAGGAGGAGGAGGAGGAGGAGGAGAGGAGGAGGAGGAGGAGGAGGAGGAGGCAGGAGGAGGAGGAGGAGGAGGAGGAGAGGGAGGAGGAGGAGGAGGAGGAGGAGTAGGAGGAGGAGGAGTAGAGGGAGGAGGAGGAGGAGGAGGAGGCGGAGGAGGAGAGGGAGGAGGAGGAGGAGAGGAGGAGGAAACCAAATGCGTAAGCACAAACCTCTTCTGAGCTCGCAATGGCTTTCTTGGATTGGTCGCTGGAGGCGCCGAAAAGGGGTGCGGGCGGGGGGGGGGGGGCGCCGACCCACCGAAATCCGCGCGGAATTCCGCGAATTTCTGTGTACAGTCGAGGCAGATCGGCAGGTCGACCCTGCCAAATCAAGGGTGATCTTGCGTCCTGTGTTTGGCGACCCTTGCCTTCCACATTCCTGTGGCACTGGCCCTCGGAAGGGTCTTGTGCCCTCTCGCGTGTCGGCTTCAACAACCCTCGACTGTATGCCGCTGCTTTTCTTCCCAGGAGGAGAGCAGAGGAACGAGGAGACGAGCGCGCGCTCGGGGGCGGCC